GTGTGTGTGTGTGGGTGTGTGTGTATGTGTGTACTCACCTAGTTGTACTTACCTAGTTGAGGTTGCAGGGGTCGAGTCCTAGCTCCTGGCCCCGCCTCTTCACTGGTGTGTGTGTGTGCGTGTATGTGTGAGTGTATCAGAGTGTGTAGACATATCCAAGAACTCGACAGTGTAGTTCCTTAAAGGAGGGATGCAGTGGGCAAGGGACCCTGATCCAAGGAATTAAAGCTACCCTTCTGCTTCCTTGGATCAGAACTGAGTACCTCCCTATTCCCCAACAGTTCAATGACCCATACGGGTTTAGCAGCTCCACATATATATAGTAATGATATTTCTTTCTCAGACTGAGTGATGGGGCCGCGTGCGACAGTGACGCTGCTGGTGACGCTGCTGGTGACGCTGAGTCCTGCTGCTGCAGCAGGCAGGAGCAGCAGGACCCAGCAGGCCTACACCTCTTTGCTTCGAGAGATTCCTCACTGGGGAGAAGACCACTGGGGTGTTAATCTTACAACGGTGAGTGGAGTGAGGTATGGAGGAGTGGAGTGAGGCATGGAGGAATGGAATAATCTACTCCATCCCTCCAAAAAGAGAATCATAGATTACTTTTACAATAGGAGTTAAAACCTACTGCTAACTGCCTAACTTTAAACTAGACCTAATTAGCAATATTTAGACTAGTTAGCCTTTTCAGCACATAGCCACGATATAGATCTAAACATTCACACTTTGTATAGAAATATACCTAGTAAAGTGAATTTTATTAGGCCGTCATGATCCAGTGGTTATCACACTGGCCTGGGAGTTTAATAAAGACTCGCCTACCACGGGTTCGAGCACCACCCACATTCTCTGATTGTTTTACAGTCGTGTTGTTGTGGTTTTGTGAGTTCTGCTCTTTGCTTTATTGATGGTATCTTTATTGGTGGATATCTTTATTAATGAGTATTTTATTGATGGGTATCTTTATTGATGGGTACCTTTATTGATGGGTATCTTTATTGATGGGTATCTTTATTGATGGGTATCTTTATTGATGGGTATCTTTATTGATGGGTATCTTTATTGATGGGTATCTTTATTGATGGGTATCTTTATTGATGTGTATCTTTATTGATGGGTATCTTTATTGATGGGTATCTTTATTGATGTGTATCTTTATTGATGGGTATCTTTATTGATGGGTATCTTTATTGATGGGTATCTTTATTGATGGGTATCTTTATTGATGTGTATCTTTATTGATGGGTATCTTTATTGATGGGTATCTTTATTGATGGGTATCTTTATTGATGGTATCTTTATTGATGGGTATCTTTATTGATGGGTACTTTATTGATGGGTATCTTTATTGATGGGTATCTTTATTGATGGGTACCTTTATTGATGGGTATCTTCATCGTGGAAACATTTCGCGAACCAGTGGCTTCTTCAGTTCAATATAGAGAAGAATGTATGTAGACCGAGGACGCTACTGACTGGCTGAACGTTTCCTCAATAAAGATACCCAAGTGTCTAATTCATTATTTTCCATGCAGATAATTGTGGATATAAATCCACATGTACTTCGGTTAACCTTCTTGGCGTGTAGTTCCTTGACCAGTGTATCCATACACTCTCACCCGACTTGTGCGCGGTACATCAGCCACTTCGCGCAACTCTTAAAAAAAAGTCTTCATCCAATTCAGCCAATTTTTTAAGTATCTGGACATAATTATTGACTTTTAGATTATAGTTAAGCGTGTTTTCAGGAGACGTCATTGAGTCTATTTAGTCTTTTTCAAGAACGTCATTGATTAGACGAGGATTCTTTTTCAGGAACGTCATTGATTAAATGCAAAGTCATTTGTTTTCGCAATGTTTTCGTTCTATTTTTACGTACTGTCTTTCTGGCGGTCTGCTTTTGATTATTTTTTAAGACAGGAGTACAAGAAGGTAGACCAAAGTTAGTTTATTTTCAGCTTATTTCCCCGGTGTACACCATGAACAAAGACTGTCATCTATTTGCCTTCTCCGTGTACTAGAGTTTCCATGTATTTAATTGCAGCCGGAGCTGATCGAAGCCATGGGTTACCCGGTAGAGATCCACCACGTCACCACTGAGGACGGCTATATTCTCGAACTCCATCGGATTCCCTACGGGGCGGAAGATCAACCCTCCGAGGGACGACCTGTCGCCTACCTCGAGCACTGCCTCCTCTGCTCTTCCTCAGATTACATCATGAACGACCCCGACAAAGCCCTAGGTGAGACGGGTGGGGGGGAAGGGGGTCAAAGACCACGCCGTGATTGCCAGGGACCACCAAGACCTCGAATAATTGAGGATATTTTTATCTTTTGACAGTGTCTCTCCCTCTCTCTCTCTCTCTCTCTCTCTCTCTCTTCTCTCTCTCTCTCTCTCTCTCTCTATATATATATATATATATATATATATATATAATATATAATATATATATATATATATATATATATATAATATATATAATTATATATATATATATATATATATATATATATATATATATATATATATATTTTATTATTATTATTATATCACACTGGCCGATTCCCACCAAGGCAGGGTGGCCCGAAAAAGAAAAACTTTCACCATCATTCACTCCATCACTGTCTTGCCAGAAGGGTGCTTTACACTACAGTTTTTAAACTGCAACATTAACACCCCTCCTTCAGAGTGCAGGCACTGTACTTCCCATCTCCAGGACTCAAGTCCGGCCTGCCGGTTTCCCTGAACCCCTTCATAAATGTTACTTTGCTCACACTCCAACAGCACGTAAAGTATTAAAAACTATTTGTCTCCATTCACTCCTATCAAACACGCTCACGCATGCCTCCTGGAAGTCCAAGCCCCTCGCACACAAAACCTCCTTTACCCCTCCCTCCAACCTTTCTTAGGCCGACCTCTACCCCGCTTCCTTCCACTACAGACTGATACACTCTTGAAGTCACTCTGTTTCGCTCCATTCTCTCTACATGTCCGAACCACCTCAACAACCCTTCCTCAGCCCTCTGGACAACAGTTTTGGTAATCCCGCACCTCCTCCTAACTTCCAAACTACGAATTCTCTGCATTACATCACTCCACACATTGCCCTCAGACATGACATCTCCACTGCCTCCAGCCTTCTCCTCGCTGCAACATTCATCACCCATGCTTCACACCCATATAAGAGCGTTGGTAAAATTAAAACTCTCATACATTCCCCTCTTTGCCTCCAAGGACAAAGTTCTTTGTCTCCTAAGTGCACCACTCACCCTTTTCCCCTCATCAATTCCTATGATTCACCTCATCTTTCATAGACCCATCCGCTGACACGTCCACTCCCAAATGTCTGAATACATTCACCTCCTCCATACTCTCTCTCCCCCCAATCTGATATCCAATCTTTCATCACCTAATCTTTTTTTTATCCTCATAACCTTACTTTTTCCTTTATTAAACTTTTAATTTTTTTCTTTTGCTTCCCCTCCCAAAATTAAATCCCCCCAATTTTGCAACTTTTTCTTTCAGAATCCCCAAGGGGCACAGTGTCATAAAGCAAAGAGCAACTGTGACAACTCCCACTTTATGTGTGTTTTTTTATTTTTTAACTCCACGCCTCTTCCCAAAAAGACCCTGCATTTATTTCTCTTAAAAACCCAAATCTAAAAAATATACTAAACAACCCGGTGACTAAAAACACATCCTTGTCAAAGGGCCCTACTTTTACGGGGAAATAATTTCCCTTTTCCTAATACTCTAAACTTGAGCCTCATTTCCTGAAAAAAAACTTTTTCACGGGCTTTCAAAACCTCCCCCTCCTACCCCATACACCTGCAACATCTGCCACTTTGGGCCCCCCCTATCCACCCTTAAATATCCCTTTTTTCCAAACCCCATAAAGGGCCACAAAGCCCTTTTTTGCCTTTTTCTAAATACTGTTTTTTTATATTTTTTTCACTGTAAACACCTGGTCCACACCCCCCCTCCCTTTTCCTAAAGCCCCCTTTTGGTTCATCTGCAACCCAAATTCCCCTTTCAAACTTTTAAATTTCTTTCAATAATAACTCTCCCAATACATTTTTACCAGGTAAAACCACAAATTTACCCCCCAAAAATTTTTTTGCATTTCTCTTTTGTCCCCTTTGCCTTTATACAAAGGAACTATGCATGATCCCCTCCCAATCCCTTGGTACCTTACCTTCTTCCTTACATTTATTAAAAAATTGCCCCCCAACCACCCCAAAAAAACTATTCCCCACCTGTTTTTAAAACATTTCTATTTTTTATCCCATCAATCCCCGGCTCCCTTTTCCCCCCTTTCTTTTTTACCTACTCCCCTCACGAATTCCCCCACACTCACAGCGGGACTCCCCTCACCCCTAAAAAGATGTTATTCCCCCCTTACCCTTTTAAAAGAAATCCCCGTTTCCCCTATCTTCAAAAATTTTAAAACAATTCCCCAAATATTCCCTCCATTTTCCCCAATACCCAAACTCCCAAATTTAATAACTCCCCCTTCCTTTTTTTTAAACTGAAAAAACCCTTTTTTTTTTTCCTGGGTTTCCCCTAACTTATTTTCACTCCAAAATTTTTTCTTTTTTTTAAAACAAAATTTTTGATAACATTCACCCCAACCCCTTCATTGTTTTTTTTTAAAATTGCTTCCCCAAATCTCTTAATCTCTTCTTTTTTCCCCAAATTACTCTTCCCCCCTTGCATCATTTATACTTTTTTAAAAACTTTCCTATGTTTAACTTTTTCTCCCCTTACAATTTCTCTTTACATCAAAATTCCACCAAATCCCCTCCCCCTTCCCTCCCACACCCACCTTCCGGAAACCCAAACTTCTGCTGAACACCCCAAAACACTACATTTTTAAACCTCCCCCATCCCTCTTCAAACCCCATTGCCTTTGCTTTTTATTACCCCATCATCCTCCAATAGTGTTTATATCTTCCCCTAACTCCCTCCTTTTTTGGGTTTTAAAAACTTTCACCTCTCTTTCCCCGTTTGTTTTTTATTCTCCTTGAAACCCCATCTACCTTTTACTCCAGTGTAGTACAACTAGAAAGGGGATCTGATATATTTTTGGGGCCCCCTCTTTAAACTTTGTACATCCTAAAAAGTCTACTAAAACAGTTTTTTTATTAAAAATTACTTAAATTTCCAAACCCAAACTACTGTCATTTCGCTCAACTTTCAATTTGTATACTTGTTTACCTTTTTTTCTTAAAATAGTATTCCCCTATAACAAAACCCCCTTTCTATAAAAAAGTTCAATAAAAAAGGGCCCCCAATTATCATTTACACCTGGCACCCCAAAAATTACCTCCACACCCTCTCTAAAAGTTTCCTTTCCCCCCCTTTTGCAAATTTAGGGCCCCTACCACAATTACTTTTTCACTTGGTTCAAAAGGGTCCCCCCACATTCCCCTTAACAACTCCCAAAAACCCCTTTTTTTTCTCCTCTACATTTCCCCTCTTCTCCAGGGGCATACCGCTTTTTATGGGCCAAATTTCACATCCAACCTTTAAATTTAATCCACATAATTCTTGAATTTTTCAAAATTTTTATTCCCCTTTTTCCCCCTTCCATAACTGATCCTTTTAACATTTCTGCTACCCCTTCCTTTTCTCTAACTCCCCTCAGATACTCCAAAATTTAATTTCCCCTTTTTTCCCCACCACCGGGGAAAATCCCCAACCCCCTTTTAGCTTGTTTCGCTTAGGGGGCCCGGACTCCAACTTCTTTTCATTATAACTTTAGCAATCATCTGTTTCTTTCTTTCCCCCTTTTAAACCACGCACATTCCCAAACTTTCCCCGTTTTTTTAAAATTTTTTCTTTTCTATATTTTTTGGAAAAAGTAACAGGGGAAAGGGGGTTTCTTGCCCATTGCTCCCCGGGGATTTTTGTTTGCCCCAAAACGCACCCATGGCTTTCGGAGGGAAAGATTCTTTTCCACTTCCCCATGGACAATAGAAGAAATAAAGAAGAACAAGAGCTATTTAGAAAAAGGAAAAAAAACCTAGATGTATGTATATATATTTTATATATATATATATATATTATATATATATATATATTATATATATATGCATGTGCGTGTCTGTGAAGTGTGACCAAAGTGTAAGTAGGAGTAGCAAGATATCCCTGTTATCTAGCGTGTTTATGAGACAGAAAAAGAAACCAGCAATCCTAACATCATGAAAAACAGTTACAGGTTTCTGTTTCACAGTCATCGGGCAGACGGTAGTACTTCCCTGGGGGGTTGCTGTCTACCAAACCTACTACTAACATATATATATTATATATATATTTATATATATATATATATATATATATATATTATATTATATATATATATATATATATATATATATATATAAAATATATATATATAAAATTATAAAATATATATATTATCACACTGGCCGATTCCCCCCAAAGGGCAGGGTGGCCCGAAAAAGAAAAACTTTTCCCCATCATTCACTCCATCACTGTCTTGCCAGAAGGGTGCTTTACACTACAGTTTTTAAACTGCAACATTAACACCCTCCTCAGAGTGCAGGTACTGTACTTCCCATCTCCAGGACTCAAGTCCGGCCTGCCGGTTTCCCTGAACCCCTTCATAAATGTTACTTTGCTCACACTCCAACAGCACATCAAGTATTAAAAAACCATTTGTCTCCATTCACTCCTATCAAACACGCTCACGCATGCCTCCCTGGAAGTCCAAGCCCCTCGCACACAAAATCTCCTTTACCCCCTCTCTCCAACCTTTCCTAGGCCGACCCCTACCCCGCCTCCTTCCACTACAGACTGATACACTCTTGAAGTCATTCTGTTTCGCTCCATTCTCTCTACATGTCCGAACCACCTCAACAACCCTTCCCTTCAGCCCTCTGGACAACAGTTTGGTAATCCGACCTCCCCCTCCTAACTTCAAACTACAAATTTCCCCTGCATTATATTAAACACCACACATTGCCCTCAGACATGACATCTCCACTGCCCCAGCCTTCTCCTCGCTGCAACATTCATCACCCATGCCTCACACCCATATAAGACGTTGGTAAAACTATACTCTCATACATTCCCCTCTTTGCCTCCAATGACAAAGTTCTTTGTCCTCCACAGACTCCTAAGTGCACCACTCACTCTTTTCCCCTCATCATTCTATGATTCACCTCATCTTTCATAGACCCATCCCGCTGACACGTCCACTCCCAAAATCTGAATACA